AAGCAAAATAGCAAAAAAATAAAAAACAAAGAGAAAAAAGAAAACAAGCAGGAAAAAAAAAAAAAAACAGACTATTGCAGAAGAAAAGTGAGTCCATTCACTTTCTCTAAAGCCAGCATTGGTCTATGACAAATGACAAAAGTCATTAATACTAGCAAATTCAATATCTAGAAGAGATACATTAATGTTTATTTTCACATAGCAAAATTTGTATTTTGCTAAGTATTTTGGACTTTTTCTGCCTTGATCATCTGCAAATTTAAAATCATGTAATATAGTGGCGTGCTGAATTCAGAACACCTGAAGCAATAAAAATAATATTTAAAGTCAGATTTTGCATCTATTATATCTTATTAATGTTGTTGTAGTGAGTTTTTTTTTTTTTTAATTTAAATATGTAAGTTACCATGCCCGCCTATACATAGTTATGGCTATATCTATATTTTTCTTCACTATTATTTTGGAGGTCAGAGAATTACTGAACAGAGAAATGAGTGAAAATTGCAAGTAGGTTTGTAAAGTGATTTCTATGGTCACAAGGCCTAATCAGCTTTTGAAAACAATGTGAGAATTTTGGGGCTATGACTTAGTTTTCATTTTGTTTTGGTCTTAGAAGATGATATGAAAAAAAAACTAAGTACAATCCTTGCATCACTGATACAATTTATTATGTAATTATGTTAAATTTTGATTGGTTTATAGTAAAACAGGCTTCTGTAGGCTGGAGGGTCAGGCTGGAAACTTAAAGGTAGTGCTACTTGTTTAAATCAGATATTTGAGTCTTTGTCTACAAACATATATAGTGATGTTAACAAATAAAATAGTCCATAAAATTGTGAAGATTGAGCTAATAAATTTGAAAAGGCTTTGTGAAATGTAAAATACCCTGTGGAAGATATTGCTGTCAATAATTTTTGACTCTGGCAGTGACAAAATTATTTTCTAATATTATATGAATTGATCTCTGTAGGAGAATCAAATATATATTTAGTATAGAATAGGGTAATATTTTATAATTGTCACAAAATGTCACAGGCCGATGTACATTTTTGGTGAGTCTATATATTAATAGCTATGAGTCAGAATCAACTCAAAGGCAGTGGGTTACACATTAATCACTGAGTTGCCTTCAGTTTTCCAAATAAGGAATAGAGAGTACTGAGAATATTTGAAGTAATTCAAGGAAAGGGAAATATTATAATTTACCACAGGTGGAGAGAAATCAAAGGGGAATCATTATATCCATGTATCTAATTGGAAGAAGGAGTTCTGGTAGTATAGTGCCTAAGGCACTTGACTGCTAACAAGAAGGCTGGCGGTTCAAACCCACCAGCACTCCTCAGAAAGAAGGTTGGGCAATCTACTCCTGTAGTGATTCTGTCTTGGAAACCCAAAGAGAAGTCGCTATGAGTCGGGTCCAACTCAATGGCACATAACAACAATAGCAATTGGAAGAAGCTTTGAGGGTGTTGGTGGATATTGAAGAATGAACATTGTTTTGCATATACGTGACTCCAAATTCTACAGATGAGTGTGGAGTACATTGGCTTTCCAGGAATCATCCCTTATGATTAAGACACACATGTTGTTGTTGTTTTGTGCCGTCAAGTCAGACCTAACTCATAAGGACCCCTCCTTGGGTTTCTGAGGCAGTGTGAATACGGAAGTAGATTGGCCAACCTTCCTTCCGAGGAGTGGCTGGTGGATTTGAACCGCCATCCTTCTGGTTAGCAGTCAAGTGCCTTAGGCACTGTCTTAGGCACTATGCTATCAGAGCTCCAAAGACACACATAGGAGGAAAAAAAAAAAAAAAAAAAAGGATGCATGCAATATATAAACTGAGTATATTGGAGCAACAGATAATGATCTTTCAAAAAGGACACAGAACTGAATGTCGCTTAGTGCTTAACAAAGAATGACAGATGACTTATATTCCTAGTTCTAGCCTCACAGCAGTTTATTATTCCTAAACAAACTGCATAATTCATTTCTTCTTCACTCACCATAATTCCACACAATATTCTCTGTAAACTAGCTCTGAAAATAAATGTGGACCAATGTTTGAGATTTTTAGTAGATGCTGAAGATACAGGAATATTTGCTATAGTCACCTTATTGTTGTTGTTGTTGTTATGTGCCATCGAGTCAAACCCGACTCATAGTCTCCTTAGTCACCTCTAATGTTGCTTTAAAACAGTTCCAAGGGTTGGAACTTGTTCAGTGGGAAACATGCAAGAAAATCTAGTGCCAAATGCTCTTTGAACTCTGAGATGGGTAACATATGAGCACACTCACTATGGATAAAACTACAGAGTTTTGAAACTTTAGAGTCTACAATGGCTTAGTCTGTTCTGGCTACCAAATCTAAATGCTCTTTCCCCAATTTCAGACTTCGAACAACAGCAGCAAAGAAAAACCTCTTTCTTAAAATACACTTTTGTGATTTAGAATCTGCAAATATTTTCTTCCCATTCATTTTGTATTTCAAAATTTCTATGTTCTTATGAACCCCTGGGTTTGTACAGATGATAGTGAAAACACAAGTGATTGATAAACTCACTAGTTGTAATTGAAAATACTACTCTTCCTGTTCAAAACTGATTATATTGAGATTTTTTCCTATTTTTCTTTTATCTTTTTGAAATTTAGTTTGGAGAAACAGATAGAAACTGTTGTTTAATACCAGATAAACACTGCTACTGGGAGGGGGGTTGTTTTCAAAATAGCCGGTGGTGAAAACGGTTAACGCACTCAACTGCTAACGGAAAGGGTGGAGGTTTGAGTCCACTGAGAGGTGCCTCAGAAGAAAGACCTGGTGATCTACTGCTAGACATAAGTCACTGGAAACCCTGTGGAACGTCACTCTACTCAGACACACATGGGTTCTCATGAGTCAAACTGGCTTGAAGCGACGTTTTTTTTTTTTTTCTTTAAATAATTTTTGTTATCTTTTTAGGACCATAGTAGTGAAACATGCAAAAGCATTAAGTCATATAACTTGATTTTCTTAGGCTACAGCTTTCTTTTCTGTGGGCGTGGTAGACAGTCTACGCACAAGAGGCATGATGTCTGTGGGCGTCCACATTTCCTGCAGCGGGACGAGCATCCCTAGAACTGCTCCTTGCGCCACTGAGCAGAATGTGTTGATAGCCAAGAGATCAGGGGACGAGTTTTCTATCATATGCCTGTCCTAGGTGAGAGGGAAAGAGATCTCGTGATGCTGTGTTTAAGTGCTGGGCTGCTAACCAAATGGTTAGTGGTTCAAATGCACCAGCTGCTCATGGGAGAAAGATGAGGCAGTCTGCTTCCGTAAGGATGCACAGCCTAGGAAACCCTATGGAGGCCACTAGGAGTTGGAGTGGGCCTGATGGCACTGAGTACTTTTGGGAGTGAGATGGAAAGTTAGTTCTGCTATTGAGGAAGTCTGAAAAGTTGCTAGTCACAATGTACAAAAGATCTCAGATACAGCGGGTCGTCTGCCCTGTAGCATTAGGCACCCAGAACTGGCGGTGATGAGAATGTTTCTCCCTAACATTCAAAAACACGGGTTTTGTTATTAATTAATGTAGCCTGCATCTTTAATTTGAGGAGACAGCCGCCTTGCTAGGCTTTAGATACCTTCACTGTCAGTATCTCAACCTTGTCAGTTGGGGGACATTTCCTCTTGGCAGCTGTCCTGTGCAGAGTCTCAGCCTTGTGTTTACGGCTGCCAGTCTGTGATACAGCACCCTGATGTCCCTTCTTTCTTGCCTTTTGCAGCTGGCGCTACGTACATCTTTGGGAAAAGTGGAGGCCTCATCCTCTACACCTGGCCGGCCAATGACAGGCCCAGCACGCGCTCGGATCGCCTTGCTGTGGGATTCAGCACCACTGTGAAGGACGGCATCTTGGTGCGCATCGACAGTGCCCCAGGTCTTGGCGACTTCCTCCAGCTTCACATAGTGAGTACCGGGCCTAGGCCTGAGTTCTCTTGCCCTCCTGGTGGTCTGAGTTGGTGAGCGACATAAATGCCGCAGAGGATCTAGAGAGGCACAGCAAAGGTGTATGATGTGCTTATAAAAAATCACCCAAGTGGGTTGGTGTGTTGGTCCTGACTTCCCCCTTTAGATGTGAAGCAAGGCGCCCGAAGAGTGCCTCAGGAAGAAAAAAAAATAAAACCCCTCCTTCTGCTCCCTGGAACTAAAGAGGAAAAGTCATTCTTCTTTTGAAAACTCTCTTCCCAACTGTGGAGCTTGGCCTCTGGCAAAACATTTAGCTGACTGTTTAGGTGTAAATGAGAGATTTACCTGCTTTTGTTTATTGTAACTTGGCACAAACAGCAAAACCAGCTAATTCCTAGACTGGAGGTGTGCAAATTTTTCCTCTAAAAGGCTAGATAGAAAAGGTTGGAGATTTGTTTATGGTTTCTGTTGCAACTACTCAATTCTACCCTTATAAGGTGAGAGCAGCCATAAACAATGCATTTTTTACAAGGGTGTGGTTGTATGTCAATAAACCTTTATTTACAAAAACAAGCAGGTTGCACTTTGTCTGCCCTGCTGTAGGCTACAGACTTCTTTGTATAGATATAAAGATCATGTGATGCAAATTGAGATTAGAGCGGGCAGGGCAAGAAATTCAAAGGGAGCATGATGGCCAAGTGTTACAATTCTGTGTATTGTGTATCTAATATTATGCTTTAGGTATTGTACATATAAGCCCAATAGGACTTTACCCTCATTCCCTACAGATCATAAGAATATGGTGCAATTCTAGGAGATTAAAATGATTTGGAGGAAAAAAATTACTTTGTTATGAGGATAGAAAATATTTTTATAGCAACAATTAACCCATTTTATCACCTGTGCAGTCTGCGGGAAAGAAAGTAGGCTACAGAAGGATGTGATTTTCATCCATAAGTACCCAAAGTGCAGCTACCAAAAGCAAAGAGAGGAATTGTTCTCATTAGTTAGCAATGACAAGGCTAGAAAGAATGGATTTAATTTGGAGTAATAAGAATTCAGTTTAAATAGCAGGGGGAAAAGCAGTTGAGAAAAAGATCAACCAGGGATTACCACCAAGCTCCAAAAAGGAGGAAAAGAAACATTTAGAGGGAATCTTTGAATCTTAAATTGCTAATGCGCAGGTCTACCAAGGGAAGTGGAGGAGGGGAAGATTGCATTCCTGGCCTCCAGAGCTGGAGGTGGATGGCTGGGACCACAAGCAGAAAATTAAGAAGCCTCCACCATCTCTCCCCAGCAGTTCCCATTCTCCAGCACCTGCTCTTCCAGAATGCCTTGGAAATGGGAACAGCCTGAAGTATGAGGCTTGAGTTAGAAGCCTGTCTGACATCAGTGTAAGGCAGAGTGAGGCAAGGCTGCTTAGAAGGTCAGGGAAGGATGCTTCAGCGTGGCTGTGAACAGACTTGTGAACCTCTAAGTCTTTTCCAGGTGCTTCAGGAACCATGTAGTACTATGAACCTGAACTTAGGCATTGTAAACTCCATTCTAAGGAGCAAAAAGAAAGGCAGCCATAGTTTGTACAGTTTATCTTTATATGGCCTCTAAGATCCACTGTAATTTACAAAACTGTGAGATTTATACTGCCTATAACTTAATGACTATTTCATGGCAGCTCTAACTAGGCTATTATTACTAGCTCACTTGCATTTTCATGGTGATTCATCTTCTTTTTTTGTTCAGTGTGACTTACTTAGAAAAATATAATTGGAGGCAGCCATGAGCATCTTGTTGAGTCAGATAATATACTATCAGTTTCTCCTTTTTTTTCCCTACAATCCCTTTGCAGAGCATCTCCACTTTTAAGAGAGCAGTATTCTCAGATTCTGACAGGTTATTTGAAATTGACATTCTTTTTGCAAAATTGGTTTGAGGATTCTAGACACTTCTAGGAGGAATCAGAAATTCCAGTATGTTGTATTACACCATTACGAGTTCTGCCAATGTTTTGCTATGTTTAGGAAATGAATGCATCGAAATATATTTTCTGGTTCAAACCATATACATTGACTTAATCCTTGGTGTGTGTGCTATACATAAACACATACATTAAGATCAAACATAGTGTATTACTTTCTTTTTAAGAGCAAAATCACCAGAATTTTATGTCAAAAGTTTTACCCTTGGGGTACTAGGTACTAGTGATGCTGCCTTTGCTTAAACATTCTGGGAATTCCCAAGTGATTGTCCTTCAGAGCTTAAGTTAGGCAACAAGGTCATCTGATCACTTTAAGGCAAAGCAAAGAGAAGGAAACACACCACTCTGGCATGATCTTGACATGCTCATGGCTTTGTGAACAGAGGACCACTTCACTGATCTGACTATTTAATCCATTTTTTTCCCTCCTTAATGGATTATTGTTGGTGTCTATACTGAGGGGATGATTGGAAATAGGCGGATTCTTTATCACACGCAGAAGGAAAGGAATTCAAGTAAGAAGGCTGAAAGACTTCATTACAAAACAAGCCTCCTTTTATTATTATGGTTATGGTCTTGATTATTTTACATTTAAGTAGATACATCAAGGAAACAAACCCATGGATATGTATTAAAATACTTCACTTTTAGACGATGTTTACAATCTGTAAAACAGTTTTGTTCCTTGAATATAGCTTATTTCTTTGTACTAAAGGAAATTACTCAAAAAGAACATAGTTTAGGGAATATTAATGAAAGTGGAAGCGGATGGGTGGGAGGCAAAAGATTTCATTCCACTATGCAGTTCACCTAGAAGAGAAATCAACTGGAGAAAATAACAAAGAGTGATGGCAGACATGAAGAGGAGATGAAAGCAGCCTAAATATTAGGGATGTGGGACAATAGGAGGAGGCAGGGGTCTGCCTGCAGGGTACATATGCTCCAGTCAGAGGGTACATGTCCTCGGACCTTCATTCTTTGACAATGGATGTTGATTTTGGAAACAACAAAAAGTGCTTTAGTGTTACTTCTATTGGTGATTGAGCTAGTGAAGTTGGGTCAAAAGTAAAGTGTCATCTCTGAAATTAGCCTCTGTGTGTGTGTGAGAGAGAGAGACAGACAGAAACAGAAAGACAGAGAAAGAGACAAAGCGAGAAGGAAGAGAGAGTTTGTGGTTTATCAACTCATGCTGAAAGCAATTTCTAGGAATTCCTGAAGTGTGGTCAGCAGCTATGTTTGCCCTCGAGGTAGTGTCTTCGAAGGAGGCTAAACTAGTCTTCCAAGAACACTGGAAACTTGAACGTGAGGTGAGAATGTGCATCTTCTAGAACAGACCTGCTACCACAGAGCCTCCAGAGCAGGAATGGCAGACAGGCTTCTTCAAGCTTTCCACTGGGAATGTTTGTGAAAGCAGCAGGTAGGAGTTCTGGCCGCCACTAGCCATGTCTGTCACCTTCACAGATGTGGACTATGTGCCCACGTGCTGCACACTTACCCCTCCTACTCTAGGCTGCACACTGGCCTCCTTCTGGTGCTGGAACTTTCCCATGTTGCTTCTTTATCACCCTCACATTTTAAAGCAGTCAGTCATGTTGAAATCCTTCTCTCATCAGGCCAAGGTCAGTTGCTCAGACAAAATTGGAGTTTTGTTTTAAGAGTTGGGGAGAAAGGAGGAGAAATGGGCATGATTAATTTGAGGACATACAACATTTTGGGTGACGGCAGGTATGAGTGGGGAAGACTTGGACAGGATGAAAGTATTGTGCCCTAGGATGGAGAAGTGGCACAAAGACAGACATACCAAAACCGAGTTGAGTGAGTCCCATAGACACGATTCTTCCTACTTTACAGTTTCCTTAGATTAGCTTTCTTCTGGGCAAGAGGATGGAGACCCTTCTTTCTGTTGCTGGCCACTTCTAAATCTAAAGCCTTCCCACATATTCTTGACCTCATGAGGATTAAATAAGCTTCAACAGCAAGGTGAATAAGACAAAAACTAGGTCTCTTAAGATAAATCAGACAAGGCTGAGAGATGAAAATAATTTAGGGATTGCTTGCTTAAAATTAGCTAAGATTTCTTTCCTTCTTTTTTTCAGTTCACACTTCCATGATGCAGTATTTTCTGTATAATTATTTATCATGACATTAATGAAATCGTGGGTGATATGTGGTTGAAAAATGCAAAAATTTCTTTGTTGAAGTGTGTGTGCATGAAATGAGATTTCTGTGAAGCGAGGGTATCTTAGAGCCGAAGGGGATTTTTAATTATCATTATATAAATACAGATTTCCCTCCATTGAAACCTATTGTTAAGAAGTTAATCTGTTCAATATTTGGAGAACAGCTGCTTTTACTTGTGACTGACATCTGCCTACTGACCGTGCATCCAGGCTCTGTGGAGGTGTGTCATGTTTCACTCACCTTCATTTATACAATAAGGACAAGATTGAATAAGACCAGAGAAAGGATAACCATGAAGTGTTTGCTATTGCTATCATGAAACTTTTTACAACCTCTTTTCAGCACCTACAAAACAGAAGGTCGAGAAGAACCGAGTACCAATTAGCTTCTCTTTATGTACTTGATGCTTGGTGTGAAAAAGACATCCTATTAATTTCTTTCTCCCTGTGTGTAATTTACAGTAAGTCCTCTTGGATTCATTTTTTAATTATGAGCCTTTCAGGAACAGAGGAAATTTATGTGTCAGGGCATCTGGTTTGTTTGACAAAGAATCTATAACCTTCACTGACTGTTTCCCTCCTGACTTATAATGTAGATACTTAGATAAAACAAGGTAGACAAAGACAACAAGGTCTACTGCCTGAACTGACTGCCTTGTCTGAATGGCACTGTGCTCTCCTAAAAACTGAGACCCCCAAAAAACACTGGTAATTCCCTCTCAGTGTCATGTTTGGGGAAATTGGTTATTTATTGAGTTTGGTTTGTATCATATTGTTTTTACATAATTTATAGCATTCAAAGAGACTCCTGGAGTAGAGCTGACTTATGATCAATGGCTGTTCCT